GAATATCGGCAATGTTTTGCCCGTGGGCACCATGCCTGAGGGTACTATCGTGTGTTGTTTGGAGGAGAAGCCTGGGGACAGGGGCAAGCTGGCACGAGCCTCCGGGAACTATGCCACGGTCATCTCCCACAACCCAGAAACCAAGAAGACCCGAGTGAAGCTGCCTTCAGGGTCCAAGAAGGTCATTTCCTCGGCCAACAGAGCTGTTGTCGGTGAGTGCCACAGAGCAGTGAAACCCTGAAGACTGGGCGGTTGGTGTATAGCTGCCGGCTGCTAGGCATGGGCCTTAGAACCAGATTTCTTATTTGGTGGGGCAGTAACTGGGACAGCATGGGCTGCTGAAATAGCTCTAGATTAAAGGCACTGGTTGCTCTTGCAGTCTGGTTTGTTGTTTTTAGAGAAGATAGGTATTGGTGACTTCTGAATGATGTTCAAGTCGGTGGGAAGGCGTGAGAGTCTAGAGTCTCTTGTTTGGTTACTTAGTACCGTGTTGCAGTCTGCTAGCCTAGTTCCTGCATGGGCTAGCTTCTGAGGATATATGTTCACAGAGGGTGCTGTGTTTTTCCATTTGTGATGGGAGGTGTTTCCAGAGGTTGAAGGTACTGTCCTGAGTGTGGGGCCCTGAACACTGAGGTGGACCCTGGGAACTTGGGCTGAGTTGACATTTTGGTTAACGCAGGCATGGGCCCACCCTCTTGTGGAAATAGTAGATTGCAGAGTGTAAGGGGTTTCCTAGGTGGAACTTGGTGAAGTGCTTGGGCTCCTAGATGGACATTTCATTAAGACTGTTAATAATCTTCATGAGGGGTTGTAGATTCCTGGCATAGCACTAACTGGGATATTTGTGACAGGAGGTTGTGGTATGTATCTCAGAGGTGTTCTCTTTCTGCAGGTGTCGTGGCCGGTGGAGGCAGAATTGACAAACCTATCTTAAAGGCTGGCCGAGCCTACCACAAGTACAAGGCAAAGAGGAACTGCTGGCCACGTGTAAGGGGTGTGGCCATGAATGTAAGTAACCACTGGCTGAGTGGGCTCTGGTTCCTGTGCTGGGAGGACCTACAGTAGGGAGGTCTTAGGCCCTAGGTTCTGCCACTGTCTTCCCCAAGTAGTTGAGATTTCCTTCATTCCAATCTCATTCTCTTCCCTACAGCCTGTGGAGCATCCCTTTGGAGGTGGTAACCACCAGCACATCGGCAAACCCTCCACTATCCGAAGAGATGCCCCTGCTGGGCGCAAAGTGGGTCTCATTGCTGCCCGCCGGACAGGGCGACTACGTGGAACCAAAACTGTCCAGGAGAAGGAGAACTAGAGCCCAGGAGCTAATAATAAAGTATGTCCTTTGGCTAATAGGCTGCGTGTGTGAGAGCCTGCTCTCTGTGGGGTAGGGCAGGGGATCCCTGCCATGAGCCCCTTGGTAGGGGAAGTGAAAGATTCGGGAACTTAGACACAGTGTAAGTGTTCAGGGCCAGAAGCATGCATGCCGGGGATCATGCTTGGAATCTGGGTCTGCACAGCCCTTGGCTGTCCTGGAACTCACTGTAGCCAATAGACCAGTCTGGGCTTGGACTTACAGAGATCTGCCCAAGTTCTGGGTTTGCCATCACACCCACTCAGGTAGCTCAGTTTTGTAACATGCAGCACTGACATCCGTGCTGTGAGCCAGTTACTGGAATTGGTGATCACACTACAGATTTTTCCCCATTTCTTCTCACCATGCAGTAGAAGCTATCCTCAAGCTCTTGATTGTGTGACTTGGAGTTACAGGCATGAGTTTGCTGTTTGGGGCACCAGTGTGTTAGAGCAAACTGCTTTCCACAATGTCCAAATGTCCTGTTGGTTATATCTTGACCAGAGAGCTTAAAGTATGAGACATCCAATATGGCCTCCACTCCCCTGCAAGTTACGAAGACGTTTCACATTGAGATTTATTAATATTGCAGTGGATGTGCCTCAGTGCCTTTTCTGCTTTTAGCCTCCCTCCACCTTTCTTTACTCTGATAGTGACAGGGGTTATAGTGATAGCTTGAGGTTGGTGTCTACTGGCCCTAGATTCTTGTGTGCAAGGTAATTGCTGATCCTTGGGATTAGGGGTAGATGCTTATGTTTAAGCTGCAGGCCCAGAAGACAACTTGCAACCACATAGTTAGGACCCTACATGGAATAGCAATGTTTCCTATTCAAGGGGCAGGAGATCACAAAAAGCCAGGTCTCAGGCCTGTTGGCACAGGGGCAGTGTGGTCTGAGGCTTACCTCTCTAGGGTCAGGGACTATGCAGAGAAGTCACAAGTTAGGGACAGACTGGCTTTAGTGGGAAGGCAGGCAGTTTACCAAATGAGCTTTAAAGCTCGTCATGTCCTGTGGCATCTTGTTCATTGACCACTGAGTAACAACATTCCACAGGAATCATTAATGTCTCCAGGCCTGTCATCTGGCAAGTGTGCTTGAGGCTTCTCACGTGTAGGGCAGTAGATTTCTGTACTCCTTGTGGGGTGCTTCTGGTGATACAACCTGGTTACTGCTAAATGACAAGGCTATTACTAAGTGACAGCCTCTGTCCTGGACAGACCTTTTTCTCTATTCCTGCTGATATGAACTCCTGCCCCTAGTGACCCACTGGCCATTTCTCCTGGTTCTAATTCAGAGGTTGTCCCAGATTACAGGTGTTTATGGAAGGAGGGTATCAGAAAAGCACCGTGTGTGGCTCCTTTTGGGCAAATGGGGTTTTAGTGTTGGCCAAGGGAGAAATTTTTCTGGAAGGGACACAAAAGAAACCTCGGGCCTGGCAGTGGTGGTGGTGCATACCCTTAATCTAGCACTCATGAGGCAGAGGTAGTGGATCTCTGAGTTTGAGACCAGCTTTGTCTACCCAGAAACCCTGTCTCAGAAAATAAAAGGAGCCTATTCTAGATCAATTTCAGAGACCCAATTTGTCTGGGCTATGGGTGTGGACTAAGAGTGACCACCAAATGGACTTCTAGTTAAGCAGCCTCTACTCCATGAAAGTTTTTTTTGTTTTGTTTTGCGTTTATTTTTTGGCAGTGTTTGTGGCTTAAAAATGAATTACTGTCAGATGTAGCCCATGGCAGTTCAGTATCGAAGTGGGTTCCATTGTAATAGGAACAGGGACGGTCTCTGACATGAACTGATTGGCCTGCTCTTTAATTACCTTCCCCTGAGGGGGAAGCAGCATTACCAGGCCACAGAAGAAGACATTGAAGCCACTCCTGATGAGACCTGATTGACTAGGATCAGAAGGAAGGAAAAGAAGTCCTCCCCTATCAGTGGACTTGGGGAGGAAAGGAGGGATTGGGACGGGAGGAAGGAGGGAACCACGGGGGATACAAAGTGAATAAAGTGTAATTAATAAAGAAAAAAATAAAACAATCAGGAAAGAAAAAAAGTGAATTACTGTGATTTGATAAACACTGAATTTGTCACCAGTCCTCTGAGCACAGTCTTTATTTTGAGGGCTCAGTTCCTGACAATGATACTATGATGCTTGTTTCCCATAGTCCTCTCAGTAAGACCATAGGAGACCTCAACTGATTAAACTTCCATTTGTCCATCAGGCGGGGTCAGGCAGCTGGGGCATAGCATTAGGGAATTGGAAAAGCTGAGTTTAAGAAACTTCAGATGTGCTGGTAACATTAAAAGTGTGAAGAGGCAGTAATAATTGGAGGGGCACCTGCCCTGTTTCCTTTTACAGAGAGCTGTGGGTCACAAGATGGTTTTGAGGGAAATAGCCATTTAAAGGTATACATTACTTCTGAGTTGGGGGGGGGGTCTCATACCAACTTGAACTAAACAAAGTCAAGCAAGGATGCCTATGCTCCTGATCCTTCTGCCTCCATCTCCCAAGTACAGGCCTTACAGGCATGCCTAACTCATGGCTATGTTCTGGGGATCAAACCCCTGGCTCCATACATTCTTCCAAATGAATGACATTTCCAGCTCTTAAAGTATCTTTTACAGTTGACTTTTAGTGTATGTGCACATATTTGTATATGGATGCATACCCTGGCATTGAGTGTGGAGGTGAGGAATAGGCGGACCTGTTCTCCCTGTCCTCTGTGTGTCAGGCTTGGTGGCAAGTGCACCTTGACCCACTCAGCCATTTGCCAGCTCATGAGTCAAATTTTTCACTGATGAATAAAATTAGAGCACAGTGGTATGAAGGCATGAGTTCCAACTGAGGCTTGGCACTGTTGAGAGGCCATTGTGAAGGAAGGTGCAGCCTCTGGTAGTTGATCATGGAGAGAAAGGCTTGGCACCACATGGCAGGATTAGAGTCCCTGAAGAGAGCCCAGGAGAAGCTGCTGTTTTAAACGGAGGTCCCAACATTTTAGAGACTCGGTACCACAGGACCAGCGAGTGGATCCTGTCTGAATACATATATGAAAGCAGGCTGTGCAAGCTGGGTGGAACAAGCCAGTAAGCAGTGTTAGCCATGGCCCATGTGTATGAGTTTCTGCTTTGGTATCCTTTGATGATGGACTGTGATGTGGAAGTGAAATATACCCTTTCTTCTGCAAATTGCCTTGGTTATGGTATTTTATCAGGACAATAGAAACCCTAAGACAGGCAACCAGAGGGGTTTTTTTTGTTGTTTAAATTCAAATTTATCTCTTTCCTTTTTTTTTTTTTTTTTTTTTTCATAGAAAACAGGTATTTCCAAGCACTTAGAACTGCCATTTCAGAATATCTGATAAAAGTATTTTAAAATACTGATTTTGTGTGTGCATATCACACACTTACGAGCTTGGAAATCAGAGGACAACTTGTGGGAGTTGGTTGTCTCCATCCACAATGTGGGGCTAGAAAGCAAACTCCAGTTATCAGGCTTTACCCACTGAGCCATCTCTCTGGCCCAAGAATTTTTTTAAACATTTTATCCACATAGCACTTAAGTGTTTTAAAAGAATACCGAAAATAGTTCAACATTCTCTTTGTTGAACTATTTGTTGGCTGTCCTGGACTCACTTTGTAGAACAGGCTGGCCTGGAACTCACAGAGATCCACCTGCCTCTGCCTCCCAAAGTGCTGGGATTACAGGCGTGCACCACCGCGCCCAGCCAATAGTCCAACGTTTCTAAATTTAAATACAATATTAGAATGATCAGATTCATTTAGGAAAGCCATGAAGCTATGTAAGAAAAGGAACGTCATTTGAAATGAAATGTCAGTGGTCCCTAGGCCTTCCTTAACTTTTCAGTTGCTTCAACAAACCCAGTTCATGTCAAATCAACCAAAGGGAGAATTCTAGCTGTCTTTACCGATATCCGTATAGGATTGCTCTCTAATATAACGTCCAGATGTTGAGGAAAAGAAATTTAACATTTGCCGGATGCTTCTCCCAGGAAGGGAGTAGAATTATGAGGCTGGGTCACCAGGGAAAGGTCCTGCAGCTTTAGCAGACGCCTCTTGCCGTGTCCCCCCCACCCCCCGGGGAGGAAGGCTGTTTCCGGCTTGTGCGCCTTCTAAATGCGGCCGGCCGGGGGTCACAGCTTTCTGTGGACCTTCTGGTGCTGGATGAGGTGGCCGTGCTGGTTGAAGGCCCGGCCGCACTGGCCGCACTCGTAGGGCTTCTCGCCCGTGTGGATGCGCTGGTGCTGGATGAGCACGGAGTACTGGCTGAAGGCCTTGCCGCAGCTGTTGCACTCGTAGGGCCTCTCGCCGGTGTGGGTCCTCAGGTGCACGATGAGCGTGGCTTTCAGGCTGAAGGCCTTGCCGCACTCGCTGCACCGGAAGGGCTTCTCGCCCGTGTGGATGCGCTCGTGCTGGACCAGGGACCGGCGCGCGCTGAAGGCGTGCCCGCACTCGCCGCACACGTAGGGCTTCTCGCCGGTGTGGACCCTCTGGTGCTGGATGAGGTGCGAGTGCTGCACGAAGGCCTTCCCGCACTCGTAGCACGCGTAGGGCTTCTCCTCCGTGTGGATCCTCTCGTGGTTCATGAGGGTGGAGCGGTGGCTGAAGGTCTTGCCGCACTCGCCGCACTCGTAGGGCTTCTCGCCCGTGTGCACGTTGTGGTGCTGGATGAGCACCGAGCGGTCGCTGAAGGCCTTGCCGCACTCGCTGCAGGCGTAGGGCCTCTCGCCCGTGTGCACGCGCTGGTGCTGCAGCAGGGTCCTCTTGACGCTGAACGTCTTCCCGCACTCGCTGCAGCCGTGGGGCTTCTCCCCGGTGTGCACGCGCTGGTGGCTGCGCAGGACGGTGCTGTGGTTGAAGGCCTTCCCGCACAGGGGGCACACGTACGGCCTCTCCCCCGTGTGGATCCGCTGGTGCTGGATGAGGTGCGACAGCTGGGTGAAGGCCTTGCCGCACTCCAGGCACTCGTGGGGCTTCTCCCCCGTGTGGATCTTGTGGTGCTGGGCGAGGTCCGAGCTCACCCGGAAGGCCTTCCCACACTCGTTACACTCGTAGGGCTTCTCCCCCGTGTGGATCCGCCGGTGCTTGCTGAGGACCGAGCTCTGGCTGAAGGCCTTCCCGCACGCATGGCACACGTAGGGCTTCTCCCCGGTGTGGATTCGCTGGTGCTGAAGCAGGTGAGAGCTCCGACCGAAGCGCTTGCCACACTCGAGGCACACGTAGGGTCTCTCTCCCCCGGGAGCTGCCGGGTGCCGAGCAGGTGGCGCACTCGGGTTCGACCCCTGGACGTTCTGGGGGCCGATGGGGTTTGGACTCAGGCAGAAGTTCTGCTCTGTTTTGTAAGGTTCTTCATCTGCCTTCTTTGGCGGTGTTTCCGCCGGAGTCACTGTTTCCTCATCTGAGATCAACGGCTGCGCGTTCAAGCCTGGGGTTTGGGCCTCTTCCGTGGCCTTGCATTCTGAAACAAGAGACAAAATGAAAAGGCTAATGGCTGGGGTGGTACAAGCTGATGATCCCAGCACTTGAGAGGCCAGGGTGGGAGGTCTGTGCTGTGAATCCAGTGCCAGTCTGCGCTACCGACAAGGGCTGCTTGAAAACAAACAAACAAACAAACAAACAAACACTATAACCAAAACCAGAATAAAACCCACCAAAGGTTAAGGCTACACAAAACTGCAGAGTACAATCCTAAAGCCTGCTCTGCTGCTCAGTCCCTGCTGTGAGATCTGAAAGGAACGCCTTTCAACAAATCAGAACTAACGGTGAGGTGAAGGGGGCCACCAGACTTCCAGCCCTGCGCAGAATGCATATGAAGCTGGTGCTCTCCCCGGAGTTATGATGGCTGAGCTTCCGTAGGCCGTGGGGAGTGAGGGCAGGACCGTGAGGTCAGTGAGGTAGGCAGCAGCACGTGAGTGATGACGCTGGGTCGACGGCCATCATGGGAAGCCTGGCGCCTTTGAGCAGGTCAGAGGGTGCTCTGGTGGGATGCTACATGGCGGGATGCTAATGGTCACCCTCGAGAAGGCAACTCTGTGGAGAATGTACCGTGCAGCAGGGGTAGAGTGGATCCGCAAGAGGCAGATAGTGGGACTCGGGTGCCACATTTAGGTTGGAGACGAGCTTGTGAGAGCTGCAGTGTAGACAGTAAGGAAGGCTTTCTGGAACCAAGACAGTCTTTATGGGCAGAGCATGCCGTGTATGTGAGTACTGAGAATAGCTATGCTTTTTTTCTTTTCTTTTTTTCTTCAAGACAGGGTTTCTCTGTGTAGCCCTGGCTGCCCTGAACTCACTCTGTAGGCCCGGCTGGCCTGAACTTAGAGATCCCCCTGCCTCAAGCCTTCCCAAGCGCTGGGATTGAAGGTGTGGGCCACCATGGCCTGGCTAAATACCCATGTTTCCTATCTAAAATTTAAACATGTCTGTCGCTTCAAGACTTCGTGTGGAGACAGCTACACTGGGCCACAGTGTGGAGAGGCCCTTCAAACACAAGGGAGGCCTAGCAGGGTATAAAAGGCCAATTCCACACACGGTGGGCGTTAGTCCCTTCAGGTTTCAGAAGGGAAAAGAGGTCCATTCTACTCCTGCTGCAGAAGATGGCAGCCAGCCCCAGGAGCACTAGAGGCTCTTGTAGCCGCCCACAGAGCACAACAGACCTAGTTGCCAGGCTCAGGATGGTGACCTACCCTCAGCCCTGTTTTCAGGGTCTTGGCTGTGAACTTCCCTGAATGAGCTGTCATTCCTGATGGAGATCACAGGACAGGAAGCCCCACAGCAGAGAAAGATAGACAAAGAGAATTCTTTTTAAATTTAAAGTATGTGTGTCAGGCACCTGCCAATGTGTGCTCTTGGAGGTCAGAGGATAATTTTTTGGACTTAGTTCTTTGCTTTCAACCATGTATGTCTGCATACCACTTGTGTGCCTAGTGCCTGCAGAAGCCAGTAGGAGGGCGTGAGATCCTCGGAAACTGGAGTTACAGACAGTTGTGACCTGCCACGTGGGTGCTGGGAATTGAACTCGGGTCCTCTGAAAGGGAAGGGCAGCCAGTGCTCTTAACCACTATACCATCTCACCAGATCCCCCAAGTAACTTTCTGATGCTATTATGTTACAATTTTAATATTTATACCTTTATTTGTTGCTGATTACATACAATACAAATGATTTAAAAAAAAAAGATTTACTTATTATTTATACAGCATTCAGACTACATGTGTGCCTACATGCCAGAAGAAGGTGCCATATCAGACTATAGATGGTTGTGAGCCACCATGTGGTTGCTGGGAATTGAACTCAGGACCTTTGGAGGAACAGCCAATGTTCTTAATCTCTGAGCCATCTCTCCAGCCCATACAAATGATTTTTATTTTATTTTATTACCTAACAATATTGCTAAGTTCTCTTATAAATGCCAATCTCTTTTTTTCTAAGTTAAAGATCACATAAATTTCAAATAATACTTTCCCTTCCAAGTCTTATAGTTTTGTTGTTTGTTTTACTTTGCATTATTTCATAATGGGGCCTCAGTATAGTATTTCACAGGATAGGGGAAGTGGATTCTTTCCTAGCTGAGCTCAAACTTTCAGCCCTTCACCACGAGTATCAGGTTGAGAAACTTCCTTTCTATACTAAGATGCCTTATTGTTTTCTAAACCAACCAGCCACCGTCAGAACCTCAGAACTCAGATCTCCCTCTAATACCTGGGTAGCCACCTATGGTCTTCTGAGCATCGACAAAATCCCTTGTCTCTACCCAGTTTAGTTTCCCATCTAGCATCATCACTATCCCTATACTTCTGTGAGCCTCAGCCTGGCCCAGGACCTTCTTGTCTGTGGACATTCTGTCAGAGGAAGAATGATAGGACCTTCTCCTGACCCACGGAAGCTTCTTCTGTCAGTGGCTCAGTCTGAAGCAGGTTAAGCCTTCAGTGAAAACAGGCCCAGTTCTTTTACTCACCTGAGTGGTCGTTTGCCAGGCTCTGGCTCAGGTCAGTTCCCTGCCCATCCAGGACCCACGGATCTTCTCCTCGTTCCAGCTGGGAGATCACAACAGGTTTGGATCCCGGAAGTCCTGCTCATGAGGAGGGAAGCCCTTGGATTACACAATATTTAGTAAGACACTCCCTTAATCCATGCTACATGCCAGCACGTGAAAATGAACACGACTTACATTCTGTTGGAGCGAAACACTTGGAGATAAGCAAGCCTCAGGATCTCAGGATCAGTCTGCCCTGTGCCCCCTCCTCCCTGCAGCTGCCTCCCCTGGGGAACCCCCAGGAGTCCAGCACACAGAGATACACAGATGGAGCCTTACCCAGTGAGACCACATTCCCATAGGTCTCCATCATCACATGGCGGTAGAGGCCTCGCTGAGCAGGGCCCAGGCGGGCCCACTCCTCCTGAGAGAGCAGAACAGCCACATCCTCGAAGGTCACCTTGGCCTGGAGCGACAGGGTTCTGAGTAACTGCACAGGTGACAGGTAGTGACATGGGAGACTGGCGCCCCCCCCCCCCCCTTAGAGTCACATGAGATCAACAGGAACAAGTGGTAGAGTTCAGGAGATGTAGTGGTGTTTGGACTGCCTGGGCACGGGAGGACCACAGGAGCTTTGGTTAAGCCAGTGAATAAGCTTTTGAGACCACTCACCTGAGGAGGCCCTGCTGGCAGTGGCAGGAGGCCGGCTGCTGCCATCTTGGCTTCTTAGGTCTGTGGGGACAACAGAAAGCAGAGGATCCTGTTGGGGCCGAGAAAGGAGAGAGAACACATTGAGAGTCTGGTCCCGCAGACCCTGACCCCCAGGGGCCCTTGTCATATAGCGAAAGGCATGCTGAAGCCACTGCAGGTCCGTCTTGTCCCGTCACTCCAGACCCATGCTCATACTCGTATTCTCTAGTGCACAGTCCTGGGAAAACATATGGTTCCTGGGCCCCTCCCATCTAGTAGGCTTAGTTAGGGAAAGTTCCACTTAAAAAATTGGGAAGGGGAGCCTGAGGCTGTTACATCTTTGTGAGTTCAAGGCCAGGCAGGGCTTCACACCTGTTTTGTTTTTAAAGGTAAGTAGGCTAGGGGCTGGAGAGATGACTCAGTGGTTAAGAGCACTAGCTGTGCTTCAGGAGGACCCGAGTTCAATTCCCAGCACCCACATGGCAGCTCACAACTGCCAATCGCAAGGGATCTGACACTCACACTAATGGACATAAAATAAAAGTTAAATAAAAAAAATAAAAGAGTGCTTGCTACTGTTGTAAAGGACCCAGGCTTGCACACAGCTTCACTTCTAGGGGATCTCATGCTTTTTTTCTGGCCTCCATGGGCTGTTACACACATGTGGTATGCATGAACTCACCTAAGAACATACACACTAAAATAAATAATGTTTTTAAAAAAATGATAAGGAAGGCAGGCGAAGTGGCGTGAGCCTGAGCCAGCGCTCAGGGAGGCAGAGGCAGGTGGATCTCTACAAGTTCAAGGCCAGCCTGGTCTACCAAGCCAGTCCAGAACAGCCAAGGCTACACAGAGAAACCCTGTCTCAGAAAACAAAAACAAAACAAAAAGGATTTCTGAGCAGGGTGCCTCTTGCTTTCTAAGGGTTTAAAGTTTCAACCCTTCACTCCCTAGACCAGTGGGGTTCTTATGGTTGACTGATCATATCTATGTTGGGGAGCCTGGGGTGGCCCTGGCCGCTGGTCCTGCCTGCTCACAGGACAGTAGTTCTACAGGGCCCTCCATGTTCTATACTCAAGGCATTCTTGCAGCCCATGTGCAACCTGCAGGCTTTAAGCCAAGCTGCCTCCCAAGTACTCTTTCCTAAGTGGGAAGTGGATGGTCTACCTGAGGCCCTTAGTCAGTCTTAGATACCCAGTGGTGCTCTGAGCAGGCAAAGCCTCAACTGAGGGGTTGGCAACATGAGCGGTTACTGTGGGTGAACTGACAAGGCAAGGGCTCAACGGAGGTGTTGGCAATGCGAGCCTACACCTCGGTTATTGTGGGTGAACTGAGTCTGGAGGAGCATACTGTCTAAGATCTGAAAGACATCTTGTCTAAAATGAGAAGGGGACACTCAGGGGTATGTGTGTGCCGGGGACATACAAAGATAGACATTCAACAGCAGCTAAATGGCTGGGGAGAGAGGGGTTCTGAGAGTTGGTTTTGTAGCAGATGGATTCAGTTTTCTGAAGTGTCAGGGTTGGGAGCAGGGCATCTACAATAGTGAAACAGAACCAAATCTGCAACTAATGGCAAATGGTACCAGGAAAAAAAAAAAAAGAGGAACAAGGAGAGCTGGAGAGGTTGGGAGCACTGGCTGCCCTTCCTGAGGTCCTGAGTTCTGTCCCCAGCAACCACACAGTGCCTCATAACCATCTATAATGAGATCTGGTGCCCTCTTCTGGTAAGCAGGTGTACATGCAGGCAGAGCATTGCATACATAATAAATAAATAAATAAATAAATAAATAAATAAATAAATAAATAAATAACTTGGGTTTTTTTGTTTTTTGTTTTTTTTTTTTTTAAGTGAGGAACAATTACAACACATCATTTTAGGCTTCTGGCTCTTTGATAATGAAATGGAAGCTAAGCATGGGTCCTCTCCCTTGTAATTCCACCTGTTCAAAAGGTCGAGGCAGAAGGATCCTTAGTAAAAGTCCAGGTTGTGCTACAAAGTAAGACCTTGTCTCCAAAAGAAGGAGGAAGAGGAAGAGGAGGAGGAGGAGGAGGAGGAGGAAGAGGAGGAGGAGGAGGAGGAGGAGGAGGAGGAGGAGGAGGAGGAGGAGAAGAAGAAGAAGAAGAAGAAGAAGAAGAAGAAGAAGAAGAAGAAGAAGAGGAAAAATGTGAACACATCATGATCTGCCTGTTGGAACAGGAAGTCAAGGTTACCCTATTTTTTAAATAAAATGTCAGATATGTATATCTGCATAGATCACTTTCAGGAAGACAAAATTAACAGCTGTCTCTGAGGAAAAGAGCAGGGAGGCAAGAAGGGAGAGGTTGACTCCACCTTCTCACCCTGTTGCTCTCCAACGGCCATTCCTCCAAATGTGTGTGCATTTTGACAGAAGTACAATGCAACTGTAATCTGAACGAAGCTAGAATCTGAATAAAACTCCTTCAGAATTTACAGAAACAACAGATGCTAAAAAGAATCCAGAAGAATGAGGAAACCCCAGTGGAGCCAGGTATCAAACCCAACACCACACCACGGGGTGGGTTCTCAAAAGATAGATGGAGTCAGACACAGGTGGATGTGGGGACTCAAAGGTGACAGGCAGGCTGGCAAGACAGCTCAGTGGGTAAGAGTGCCTGCTGTCAAGTCTGAGGACCTGGTAGAAGGAGAGAACCGGCTCCCACTGGTTGTATACTGTGACCTCCACACATTTGCTATGGCATGCCCACAAACACAGGCAAGCACACAAAATAAAAATAGGGCCAGTAAAATAGTTCAGTGGGCTTCCCACCAAGCTGAGACCTACATGGTGGAAGGAGAAGAACCAGCTCTCACGATCTGTCTTCTATGTGCATGTGTGGCCCCACCCAGAAATCAACCAACCAACCAACCAACCAACAAACCAATCAAAAAAGATGAGCCAGGAGGTGGTGGCACACAGACTTTAATCCTAGCACTCCAGAGGCAGAGGCATGCGGATCTCTGTGAGTTCAAGGCCAGCCTGGTCTACAGAGTGAGTTCCAGGACAGACAAGGCTACACAGAGAAACCCTGTCTTGAAAAGAAAGCGCTCAGCCTCCTGTATCTGGCCCCTGCTCCCTTCACGTGAGCTATCCCCTTTCCCAGTCCTCTGAGAGTAGCCAGACTGGCCTTTCTTGTCCTTCATGCATCCTTGTCCAGTTGCCTCCCAAGGGAGCAGATTCACTCCATGTTGTCTTTCCCCCTTCTGCTTTTGAGGAGACCACTGTCTTCACATGATGTCACCTCCACAAGTCCCTGGAGCAATGCTTGGTAGGGATTCCTTTGATCTGTGCATGGCAAAATCCACGGTCAGTGCTTGGTCATACTGCAGTCAACTGGGCGCTGCCCTCCCTCAACGAGGCCTTCTCTGGATGGCCCCCTCCATCACCAGCCTCTTCGGTTCACTTGGGTGATATTTCCATCCTGACCCACATGAGAAACTGACCTTCACTGAATGAGCAGCTCTGGCTCCCTAGAAACCTGACAGAGTGACAGTGGGTCAGTCCTGACTACACCTGGGTGGGGATCTAACCATGCAAATCCAGAGAAGCCGCATTCAGGCCTTCTGACAGGTCTCCAGGGCTCACGGGGCTGACCTAGAAACTTCTGGCTCTTGGCTGTGGAAACTTCTGTGACCTTCAGAGAATTTAGGTTTGTTACTACTTTTTTTTTTTTTTTAAATTTTGTAAGCTAAGAAACCAATTATTCATTTCGGAATTCCTCAAGATCTTGATGTGACACACTTACATGTTTGTCCTAGAGCAGTGGCTCTGAACCATCCTCATGCTGCAACCCTTTTTCATGTATAAAAAGCTACCTGTGAGTACAAAACCATAACACTTGAAATTTTCCCTACGTAAATGATCATGCATTTTCTATCTATCTATCAATCTATCTACTAATTAATAGCTTTCCTATACACCAGTGACACTTGGTCTAAGACAAGAAAGAACAGACACCACAAATCATAGTAATGCTAATTTGTATACTTTATTCACAACATCAATCAACGTTTTATTTTGTTTTTTCGAGACAAGATTTCTGTGTAGCCCTGGCTATCCTGGAAATAAATCTGTAGATCAGGTTGGCCTCGAACTCAAAGATCCACTTGCTTCTGAGTGCCAGGAATTAAAGGTATGTGCCTCCACAGCCCAGCCCATAAATCAACATTTTTATGAAAGATTATAGGGGCACAGGGTCTCCTAACTAAATACTTTTAAAAAATATTTTTATTTATGTACGTTAGTGTTTTGCCTGCATGCATGTCTGTGTAAGGGTGTCAGGTCCCCTGGGAACTGGAGTTACAGATAGTTGTGAGCTGCCACGTGGGTTCTGGGAATTGAACCCGAGACCTCTACAAGAGCAGCAAGCATTCATTTTCTTTCTTTCTTTTTAAGACTTATTTTTATGTGCTCTGGTGTTTTGCATGTATGTATGTCTATGTGAGGATGTCAGATCCCCTGGAACCGGAATTGTGAGCTGCCATTTGGGTGCTGGAAATTGAACCCAGTTCCTTTGGAAGGGCAGCTAGTGCTCTTAACTGCTGAGCCATCTCTCCAGCCCCTAAATAATTTTATGTTTATTTAGAAGACAACAAACACACAGGCAGCTCAGAGCTACTAAGAAAGGAGCTAGCTCTTTTTCAGAGCTTCACCAGCCCAAGGGCCATCCAAGTTAATAGGGTCACTCTGGGCCCAGGCAGGAGTGGGCAGCTTAGACACAGCCAGGAAAGTTGGCATACACCTGTAATCCTAGCACTTGGGAAGCTGAGATGGACAGACTGCTAACACGAGACTACATAGTGAGTTCCAAGTCAGGGTTTGCAGCACAAAAATTTATTTGTCCATAAACCTAAGCAGCCTGAGTCGGCCTGAGAGGTTCCAGGACTAGAGGACTGGAAAGCAAGCAGGGAATAAGAGACAAAGACAGGAGATAGAGGATAAAGGAGAAGGGGAAGGGAACACGGGAGAGAGGGAAGGGCTTTTTGTCCCAGAGTGGGGACAAAGGCCTGCCTCTGGATAGAGAAGAGACAGACATGGCCCAATAGGTAAATGGCAGCTTAGAAAGATAAAATGAGAAATCCCGTGTTAGGATGAGGTGTCTAATTTTAATTGGGAATGTTAATTAGGTGAACCAAGGGGGGGGGGTTCTGATTGAAGGACTTCAATAATTTGATAGCTGGACCTCGGTAGTCCTCCTCTGGAGGAGGGATTCACCAAATAAGGGACTAGACCTTGGTGGCTAGCTTTAGGAATGTAATCTAATACCTTTAGCAAGGTAGAGCGAATGCAGGAGAAAGGCAAGGCCTGCAAGGGCTACGTTTGCCACGCTTGGGCTGGCCAGAGTCCCTTCACTCTACATTAAGCTACATAGCAAAATTCTGCCTCAAACAAAACACAGGAAAGAAGGGAGGTGGGGAGAGAATAAACAGCTTGGAAACAGAAACAGAGCTCAGTCCAGGTTGGGGGAGAGATTCAAATTGCTAGGAGAAAAAAAAAAAAGATAATTAGCTATGTGCTTAAGTGTTTTAGTTAAAAATTAGAATTAAATCTAATACACAGTCCTCAACAAACTACCAGAAAGTGGGAAAAAGACAAATGATTTTTAACATTTTAAAAAGGATGACAAAGAAACCACATCAAGCTGTAACCTGTAATCCCAGCACTAAAGAGGATGAGGCAGGGGGATCCTAGGAGTTCAGGGGTCATGTCCCAAATGCAACCAGCCAACCAGCCAACCAACCAAACACTGTCGGGGGAAGGATGATTGAGAGACCAGAAAGGGAATGGATTTCCAATACACGCCTGAACCAGAAAGCATCTTCAACCTAAAAGCCGCAGCTCGTCTGTCAAAGGATGGAACAACACCCGAAGAAAATTGCCTGAGACTACACCAGAATTGCCCTTATTTGCATAGCGAGAAAGTACCAACAAAGGGACTCATCCTAGCCACCCGTGACCATCGCTGACCCATCTAGCCACCCACAGCCTACTGCATATCCAAGCAGTTCTCTTCCTGCCATGCTTCCTTGCCCTTTGCAGTATACTAAACAAACTTATTATTGTTCTAAAGACTGGGTTAGTTCACTAGACAGAACCTCATCCACATCTCAAGCCAAGCCAAGTTAACAACTAGTAAGAAACCTAGAATGCTGGGGAGTGGTGGTACAAGCGTTTAATCCCCGCACTTGGGAGGCAGAGGTGTTCAGATCTTTGTGAGTTCAAGTCTGGCCTGGAACTGGAGTTGCAGGACAGCCAGGACTACACAGAGAAACCCTGTCTCGAAAAACAAAACAAAAACAAAACAAAACAAATAACCCTAACGGACATCAAAACCACCCAAACCTCCCAAAATAGGGGCAAAGAAGATGGTTGCTCTTCCAGAGGACCTGGGTGTAATTCCCAGCACCCGAGTGGAGGCTCACGACCATCTGTAACTCCAGTCCTAGGGGATCCTGATGCCATCTTCTGTCTTCCTCAGGCACTGTTCACACGTGGTACATAGACATGCACACAGGCAAAACACCCATATACACAAAATAAAATAAATAAATAAACCTAACCATAGCCCTCCCCAGATAGGCCTAAGCAGAGGAATGAATTTAGTGTATGACAAAGGTGCACTTTTAAGTAAATGGAAAGATAAATTATCCAATAGATAGTGGATGATGTTAGCAATGGTTATGATTGGGGGCAGGGGCGGACTAAGGCTGGATTCTAACTTCACCCCTTACCTAAATAAATTCCATGCAGAACTAATATTTTACAAGTACCAGACAAAACCATATTATTTATACAAGAATCTTGAAATAAGCCTTTTAAAACATAGCAAAAAGCCAAAATACTTTAATGGAAAATATTTGCCCATTGAAGAAAACCAACAAAATCCTTTTAATTAAAAATAAATAAATAAATAAATAAATAAATAAATAAATAAATAAATAAATAAATAAA